ACAAAACGTAGTTTATTATCCAACAAAACAATAGTACATTTTGTCAAAGATGACATAAATTCGTATGCTGTAAGTCGTAAAAAATGACATAAAAATAGAAACATAAATGGCTAGACAAACCGACAGCGAAGCTCCTCGATAGCACACCTTTCCGAGGAAAAACATAAATAAACATAAATACTTTGTTTTTGCTTTGGAACATTAAATTTTAAGATTTCACATTAACCATAAACCAAGCCATATTCACAAATTTTCTTACATCGCCAATTTCACAGTGTATGGAAACTCTGCACGAAATCATGACAATAAATGGGAGTTGCAAAGTAACTTAGAGATAAAGCATCAATAGATAAACGCATATACTAGTTACATTCAAGCGTGAAATTACCCAGTTTTAGCTTTAACCCTTTAGACACCATATCTTATATAAATTTTACTAACACAAATAGGTCTACTATAGTAAAAATATAAGAATACATATAGAAAACAACTATATTGCTCGACAAACACTAAGGTAGAAACCTTGGTCTAGGCTCTTAGTCCCTTTGTGTGCTTTAGCAATAGAACCGTAACATGGATATGATCTTCCCAAAATTATCATAGAATGACATCGCAATAGAATTCTATTTAAATTGCTGACAGAAACTCTATCTTTTTACTTAAGAGGACAGATTGAGGAAAGAACAAGTTGAGTTTTGAAATTTCATTCGTTACAAATACAACTACAGATTTCAAACTTTTGAAGTTATCTGGTACTCAAAGTCCAGTAAAAACTAAAAGCGTGTTAATATAAGAACCATTTGTAGATTTCACCTTATAGTAGTTTCAGTTCTCAATTCTCTTTCACGCATGAATCAACAGTTGAACATAATAGCAAAGCAGTCACTTTCTTTAAAATCTGATCCAACAAGAATTGACATGGACATGTCACCCGCTTCCTTAAAAAAAATAGGTTTTATCATCATTTAATAAATAACGACATTAAATAAATGAAATTTTAATTAAAATTATAATACTCTGGTAAATTGAATCCACCATCCCAAATTCCCCCTGGGATATTTCGTGCTCCAGATTAGGTGGTAAATAAACATTTTGAACCAAATGGTCGCTTCTATTTTCGATGATTTTATGTCTTTTGTATGTTGTCTGAACATGTTTTGCACCCACCACAGTCCACGTTACATTGTTCCCCTCCAACGACGAAGTAATTAATTTGAAGTTTTGCATTGTCTGTAAAAGAAAAGATATTTAAGAAAATATTGCAAATGGGACGAAATCATAAAGGCTGAAAATAATGTTCCAAAGAATTGACGAAAGCAACTCGAAAACTTTTTGTAAAAAAATTTAAAATAAAGTTATTAAATATAAAATTTTCAATACAGAAATACAGAAAAACATTTAATTAAAACAAAATAAATTCAATGAAGTCAAAGATAGATATTGGAAAGGAACTATAAGTAACTATTTGTATCTGACAATTAATTTCTTCTTCAAATTATTCAGTTGAAATTTTAAATTTCTTTCGTACTTATTTATGTGACCGTAACAATCCGTTGTTAGGTTTCGACCTGACACAGCACTGTTTTGTAGGCGCATCTGCTGCGTACAAGCCTTCTTCACTATCGTGCATTTAACGCAGTTTAGGTGCTTCCTCAACTTGATCATACCACCAGAGACACGATCTACATCCACTCCTTTTTGTTCCACTTCAAACACCATTTTCAATTAAGCATCGTCATCCATATCACCAAGCTAGCGAAGTCGATGGGTTGTTAATTCGCTGTTTGATGCCAATTTCGTGATAAAGCTCGTAAAGCTATTGGTTCAATCGGATTCAGTAGTCGTCACCAACAGAGATCTAAAGAAAAACTTTTCTTCAGAAAACTCCAAGTGTTGCTTTATGATAATCTATAACAGCATCAATACTTCTGTACCATACGAAAACATAAGTAAAGATATCAATCAATTTTTAATCCTATAAATACAGATTGAAGAAAATTCAATCCCCCACCCAACCAAGCCCCTGTGGTGCTATGTAGCTATATTTCCACATATAATTTTTTTTTTCAAGAATTTTATGTGTTTTATGAAATATTAAGAAAACATTTGTGAAACATGACGTGCGTTGTTAGCAAATTGATTTGTTTATCTTTTCATCCATATTCGTATCTTTTATGTGTTTTCTTAAAATTTTCTAAATCTTCCTTGTAATTCAACATTAATTTGGGTCGCTTGTGGAGTATAATTAGCACTTTACTCTTCTGAGTTAGCTGAACAGAAGAAGTGTGCGAGATCTGACTGATTGGCTCATATGTGGCCCTTCTGCATATTCCGAAAAAGCTTAGACATATTTATGGTTAATTGGCGCTTCATAGATTTTTCTAGCTGTTCGTCTTCGTTCTGTCATGTTCAAGTGTTGGTAGCATCTGGTAACTACGAGTATTGATGTTTTTATGATTTTTATCGTTTCTAATGCGTTTCGTACTTAAATGGAAAATTGCGAAATTATGTTACCAAAAGTTATTACTATTCCATGGATCATGTATGTTTTAACTTATAGTCAAATGGAAATGCTATATGAGTGCCCTATATTCTCAGCGATGAACAGTGGCGTAGTTAGAGTTGATACAGGCACGTATGTATACATATGTCTATTCTAAAAGCCCTCTGTCGATATCCTCCAATTAATATCATGAAATACAAATACAGTAAAATCATGCTGTCACCCTTCTAGATTTATGCTGTAGATGTCATCAGTAAACATTCCAGCATAATAAATTGAGAATTCATTTTCGTTTTAACATTTTCTATATTCGGTAGTGCAAAGCTATATGTCATTTAATCAAAATAAATATCCCTAATCAAATCAATTTTAGTTGATAACAGAAGAAGAAGAAGAGGAATATTTCTCAAGGATTATAAGTTTTAGTTTCGGTAAGCCAAACTCACACATAGTCGGAAACATACAGATTGAGAGTAATATTTAAAGAATTTGCTAAGGAGCTTGAAATGATTCTGGGAAGTTCGATTCAGCTAGGAATTTAAGAACATCAAATCAAAAACTACCGATGCATTATTTCATGGATGTCAATGTCAACTGGTATTTTTTAAAGGAATATCTTTAGATAACTAATCGTGAATGAAGAAAATACACCAAGATCTCTCCCTTACTTGCCTATAGTACACAACTCAGTTAAATAGCTTCAAAAATATCTTCTACTTCTTTGATCAAATTTGATTTTCTTTTGAAGATTCAAATGAAAACGATCAATCCATTGTATTTTTGGCATTGATTTTATAATCATATCTGAAATCCATGAGTTTGTTTTCTATAAATCAGGTCGTGTCTAATTTTCTTAGAAAAACGGTCTGAATAATTTAACATAGCAACAATGGTACAGAAAAACGCTACAATACAACCAAATATTTCTTTATTTACCAACCATTCTTCTGAAACCAGTTTATGCTACAACCAAACAGAAATATCGAACATAACAATGATTATTAACCTGACTGGCAGTGACAATTTTTTCTATCCTCCATATTATTGTTAGGGGATGTGGCACTGCGACCGTCGAGTCTATTGTGCCCTTTTCTGGGCTTAGAGTAGATCTCTAAGCCCCGTTGCTTAGAGAAAAGTAGTATAGAATCTAATTTACAGAGTCATATTGTCTCTTCCATCTCTTCCATTCCGAAGTAATGCACAACACTGGATCTCAGTGCTGTTCAGTAATAGTGCGACTTAACAAACCCTAATGAGATCTGCTTACGTTATTTGAAGCAAATCAACAATTCCGAATCAAGGCAATTAGTGATGTAAATAAATGAACTCGAGAGAAATATAAAATTCTATTCTTAAGTAGAATGGCGATTTTTGAAGAAATTGAAACAAATCCAAAACAAGGTCTGTCTTAGACTATATCTGTGTTTTCAACAACTGCTAATAGGATCTACTTATGATATTGTTTTTTATGAAAATAAACAGTTTTCAAGCAAGACTAGTGGTGATATGATTAAATAGACTCGGGAGACATGTTAAAACCTGTCTTTAGTTGGGGTGGCGATTATCAGGAACAATTTGTTTTAAAGAGACTAAAGCACAATTAGCACAATTAGTGGGCAGAGACAACGCAAAGCATATTGTATCTTTTGTAAGTTTGTGTATTTATTGAAACTAATTTACCATAAATCTTTCAGAACACTTTAAGTAAATCGCTTATGCAGTTAACCCATCTGGCGACACTTTTAACATTTTTCTCACTAATCAGCATAAAAATAATACTTTTAGTATTTCGTTCTTTAGGAAGAGTGAAATACTTATGTTCGACATATGACTGAATCTTGAATTTTTGCTATAATCGTAAAATAAAAGATAGTTTAGTGCAAATTTCCGACAAGTGCACTTTTAGTGCCCCGCTTCCGATGCATGATGTGCCAAAAACACTACGTGAAATCTCTTTGAATTGCCGCTGTTTCGTATCTCATATCTCGGCACATAATTAAAATCTCAAACTCAATATTTTCGTCAAATGTTTCCTGTGACAAATTTACGGCATTTCAAATTTATGAGAAAAACTGTACTAAAAATAAAATACACATATGATTGCTAACAGAACTGTCAGTGTTCTTCAGCGTGTAGCTGCCTGCATTATGCCCCATTGAAAATGTGAACCATCAGAGGCCGTGTGAAGGGAAGTGGAGGGAGGGTTTAGAGAGCACACATATTGATCTCTTATATAAATCAATAAATCTGTGTCAAAGCTGCTCACTGCATTGTGAGCTCACTGGCATAGGTTCGATAACTTGAACTTATGGGAAGTAGCTCAAGTCGTTGAGAATAAATAAATTTAATTATCTCAACGCTTGAGAATTCAATTCCAATTTAATTAGTTCCTTAATTAAATATAATTAAACAACGATGAATGCAATGAAATGAATTTCATTTCAGTCACAATTTATTCCATCGTTTTTTGATGCAACATATCTTTTGAATTTTTCAGTGTCCCTATTTGGTGATGGCTACATCACCATGCCATTGCAAGAAGCTAAGATGTCTACAAATATCAGAGTCAAATTCCGTACACAGCAGGAAAACGCTTTTCTATTCCTGGCAGCAGGACGCACTGACTACTGCCTCATGAGCTTGGAAAGCGGCGCCATAAGTTTCACATACAAAATAGATCGCGATGTAGTGCAGGTAATTAAATAATAATAACGTTTCCTTTTAGCCTAATTTGATTTATTGCCGTTATTGTCGTCATTGTCGTGCTCTTGTAGTTGCGTTCTCCCAAAAAACAAAAACTTAATGATTTGGATTGGCACGATGTGGCGGTGCAACGCTACGATAATAATATCACACTCCAAGTTGATGGCACCATCATAAGAAAAACTTTGCACGCCGACATGATGGCGCTAAACGTACATTTCGGCACATTTTTGGGTGGTGTTGGTGACTTTCCGGCAGAGTATCTGAACGATGTAATTGGTTTCCGAGGATGTATTTCAGACGTACGTTAGACTGGCTCTGTAATAATCACAATATTCTAAAGTTATGTTCATAGGTTTTCTACAACAATATCAATGTCATCAAGCGTGCAAAGGAACGAACAGGGCATGCTACAAGCATAGGCATCACTTGGGCATGCAGCAATGAATTCGATGGTTCGATTAAGGATAGTGTCAGCTTTCTCAACGAAGACTCATTTGCACTTATGGCCAAAGACTCACAAAATACAGGCGAATCGTAAGCACTCGTAACATACATTACTCAATACCCATAATATTTTTTCACTTTTATACTCTCTTTCATATCTATTCTAAGACTTGACTTACAATTTCGCACAATGGAAGAATCTGGCGTATTATTCTTTAATGGTGGCTTTGATTTTGTTCTGTTGGAAATAGAGGATGAAATGCTCAAGTTGACATTTAACAAGGCAGGCAGTCTAGTACAGATATCACCAAATATGAGTGTCTCTGATGGCAAATGGCACCGTATTTCGTTGCGTTACAGTGGCTCTATGGCTGAACTCATATTGGACGATACAACGCATCGCGAAATGCATGCGAATGATACTAAGCCCACTATTAATCTAGAGAAGAGTGTGTTCTTCGGTGGTGTACAAGAGATAATGCGTCGGCGTTTGTTGAACAAAGGTTTACGTATAAACGATATCAGTTTCAAAGGTTGCATGCGCGGCATTCGAGTTAACAATCAGGATCTTGGTTTTCCACAAATGAAAGTTTCACACCATCTGGCAGTAAACTGCGTTTGGAAATATCCTTGTGTTGAGTACAATCCGTGTTTAAAAAGCGGTGTATGTAATCAGTACGGCGTGGATGAGTTCATTTGCTATTGCGATCAATCCTATTGCATTAAAGCAGACTTTCAGGGACCATTCAAAGTGAGTGTTTATATTTGATTAACTAATCCATGCAGTTAATTAATGTTATTATTAATTCAAAATATCAGTATAACTGTATAATATGAAACCAGGTTATAGAAATAAAAAGTAATAACTGATAATTCCCTTAAATCTTTTATAGCACGAATTTCTTAACGGACCGTAAAACCTAAAGTAATCATTTTGTGTGATAAGACAATGAAAAACATGTGTGAGCAGAAATATTAAATAAATTATAAAAAATATAAGACAATTACTATAATGAGACTGCATTTATGTTCTCTTAAAATTTTGCACCCAACCAGTCAGTAGCTAATAGAATAGAACAAATTTTATACTTGTATGAGAATGTTTTCTTATATGCTCAAACATACAGTCTTTCCAAACAAGACCAGAGGTTTGTCACTGTTATGCCCATATATCAAGCGAAACTAGATATATGCCCATGCCCACAGTATAATGTTCAATGACAAGATACCGGTCCTTTGCAATATTTATATTTAATACTTATTTACTATCAAAATAATAATTTTTAAAATTCCTGAAATGGGAAAACACGATTAGTATTAGGAAGTGTCCAATGTTACCGACTGGAATCAACGTTACCGACTAGGCCACGCTGGTAGGTTGAGAATCAACGTTACCGACAAGGCTACGCTGGTAGGTTGAGAATCAACGTTACCGACAATGCTACGTTGCTTAGGAATCTATGTTATATAAATTTCTTAGTTACCTTGTCTCTTCAAGTGGTAATATCAAGAGATGTAATCATAAATGCATTAATAATGTGGATATACATAAATTTATATAATTTTTCATTCAACAGATGCATTCAACAAGTGCATCTCCTAAAATTTGAACTAACTAGTGTTATGCAAAAGGACTTTTAACCTACCTTTAACCTACCAGTTCTCCCCCCTTTCCAGATACAACCTGGAGCATATAACTAAAGATCTAATCCGCCATAAAGTAGAGATGACAATCTATCACTTCACACAGACCCATTTCGTTAAGATGATAACACAGATCATAATGACCTACTAACAACCTCGATTCCGTTCTACTGAAGAGGGAAAGCCTAATATAGTTAAACTAAAATTTTCAAAACGTAAACAAATATGTTGTGCTTAATTAATTCACATGTTTGAGTGAGCACTGTAGATATTATTTCCAAAAATTCAAGAAATAAATGATAGCTAATAAATGCATAAGCTGCTCTCCTGTGAAAAATATATTGTAACCATGATGTAGACAAATCTAAATTTTCTTCTTAATTTATATTAATAAAATTTACATATTTACAGATATTTACTGAAACCAGTCCCGAACTAGAACTACTATACGTCTCACCCATCGAATTACTAGAAGGTGGCACAGTATTTCTTTCGCCTCATTTTATAGATGTCTTAATTGATATGCGCAAATATCCCAGTCTTTCGGATACATCCATTGTATTTCACGTTGTACAGCAGCCTAAATATGGACAACTGCTACAATTCTCACCCGAAAAAAATAATTTCGTCCAATGTCGTACATTTAATATGGTCGATTTGTCTACAGACAAAGTTAAATATGTACACAACGGTATGGAAAATTTCAATGATCACGCCACACTAGATATGCAAGTCTATGGTGACATACATAAAATACCGGAAAATATACTTGGTAAGCACCGCTTCCTGTTACATGCAAATGTTACACCAGTGAATGATCCACCACAACTCAAGATGCCACATAATAAAATAATGCGCGTCATTGAAGGTATCGAGAAGGTATTAGAGTTAGAATTATTCAACATAAACGATCCAGATAGCGCTGCAAATGTGGTGATATATACAATTTTACCTTCCACAAATCCACAGGAGGCATTTGGACGGTTCCTTCTTAATGGCATGCCAACAATGACTTTCTCACAAGCAGACGTAAATGTTGGGAAAGTAACATTTCTCTACAATTCAACGGCTACTGAGGCGTTTAGTTATCAAATTTTATTACATGTTTCGGATGGCATAGAAACTAGTGACACCGTGTATCTTCCTGTATCGGTGCATCCACTTGAATTACGCTTAGTCAATAATACCGGACTTATAATGATACACAAAACATCACTTTTTATCGCATCAGCGAACTTGTCGGTGGGCACTAATGCAATCGATGAAAATATCGATATACGCTACGATATTGTCAAGCCACCGCAGTATGGTGCCATTCAGCGATTGAGACAAATAGACGCCTCTTGGGTGAATGTTGATTGGTTCAGTGACAGCCAGTTATTGCTCGGCCATGTGCGTTATGTGCATAGCATTGATTTTCCTTGGCAGGATGAGTTTAAGGTTTGTTAACTAACATTTAATAACATTTAATAAATAACAAATATCTGGCTAAGATAAAATATTTACCTCATTTCTAATAGAAATAAACATATTTACATATGTATATAATACACACAACATATACGTATATAATATATTACGACACTAGACAGTTCAATCTATATATATTTTTTTTTCTCCAACTAGTTTGTTGCTTCGCATGGCTTCGTCACTACACAAACATTCGATTTTCGCATTACATTTACTCGGCTACGGATTACCTCCGTAAAGCCAGCTGCCATTAATGTTAATGGTTCTAGAGAGTTTATACTAACGAACGAAGTGTTGACTTACGAAACTGTACCCATCACTACATTCCCTCGAAATATCATATATAAAATAACTAAAATTACAAAATACGGTGCCATTTATGTGGAAAACTCGCGTAAAGCTGCAAAGGTAATACAAAAGTTTTGAACATAATAACTAACCTTCATAACTGCATATCATTTCATATTCATAGGTAATGGATTCATTTACACAATTGGACATAGACAAAAATCGCATACGGTACACAACACATCTCACGTCCTACTCGAGTTTTACCGATTATCTAGAATTCGTAGTCTCGGTCGCCGAGTGTGACGATGTTACAGGAAAATTGGAAATAATGTACCATCCGCTTGACACTCTCACCAGCAAGCTTTCCTATCAAACTCGAGAACCATTGGATGTACAAGAAGGAGACCGTGCATTAATAACAAAAAATCATTTTGAGATAGGATTTAATATGTATGAGAGTTTACAGTTTGTCGTGTCACAGGTGCCCAAACATGGTACTCTTTGTCGGTATGATGAGCAACAGGGTAAAGTGCTACCACTGACAGAATTCTCTCTATCGCAATTATTTTTACATGAAATTTATTACTGCCACGACGATAGTGAATCCACTTACGATTTATTTGACCTACTGATACTCTCCAGAGATGACACCGATTTACAGTTTGTGGCGCATATAGATGTTAACGTTAAGTTGATTAATGATAATGCACCCTACCGCACCATAGAACGCATATTTCACGTAGTGCGTGATGGTTCTCGCACATTGAATCCAGATGTACTAAAATATTTAGATGCCGATGTTAACACCAATCGATCCGATATTCATTTTATACATGTGTCTAGCACGAATGGCGCTTTCTATAAGTCTGGAAACCACATTGACAGTTTTAGCCAGGACGACATAACAAATCGGCGTATTATGTTTCAGCATAGCGGGCCGGATGCAGGAACTGCTTCATTCATTGTTACTGATCGTCAGCATGAAGTAAATGGACTATTAGAAGTACATGCCTCCGATCCATTCGTTTCTATGCTTCCCACGAATGCATCAATTGTTCAAGAGAGCAAATTTGTTATACTCCGAAATAAAGACTTTGTGCTGGAAACTAATTTGGATATGAAATTAGATGAAATATATTATGAAGTCATAAAGCCTCCTTCATATGGCATACTTATGTATTTGGGCAGACCAAGAGCAAATGATTCTTCTCTCTCCAATGTGCAGTACAAAGCTACTAATTTGACTTCGTTGAATAATTTTACGCATTTGGATATAGAACGAGATCGATTGGTGTATTGGAACACTGAAATAGCTTCCATGGATAAAATGCGGTTAGTAATTAAAGTTATTTAAATGTTAATATATAAAAATCTTGAATTGTGATCTAACTTCAGATATCGCGTGCATTTGAAGAACATAACAGCAGAGGGAGAAGTCGTTTTTCGAATTTATCCTTCAGCTTACTATGAACCACTTCAAATAAAAAAAAATCAAACACTTTACGTGGAGGAATCGACCAGTGTACTCATATCACGTGACATACTTGAAGTGGTGCATCCTAATATATCCCCCGGAGATATAACTTTCCTAGTAACGTCTTCGCCTATGCATGGTTATCTAGAAATGCAGTCCATGTCATTTGATGATGAATACAATTGCAAAGTGTTCGACCAAACAGCTATTAATACAGAGAAAATGTTTTATATACAAGCTGGTGTAAATCAATCTATGGACTACTTCCAATTTGATGTGACTAATGGTATAACTTGGCTTAGAAATCTGATGCTGAAAATAATCATAATTCCTGAAAAATTATATATGCGTACAAATGTTATATCGGTTGTTGAAGGTTGGTACATTTAAAATTGTCATTAAGTAGTTAACTCTTTCCTAAATTGATTTTACCAGGTAAAACCGTGCAATTAAGTTCTTCTGATATACAACCATTTTCGGAATATTATCGTGGAAAAATTCTGGAATACATAATAACTATTGCACCAACTTCCGGCTATATAATGGCAGCAAATTCAAAAGTCAAACGCTTCACTCAAAAGTCACTGGAACAAGGAAGTATATTTTACATACACAATGGAAATGAAAACGCCACCGATGTGTTAACCATGGTCGCTACATCACGCAATAAAGAGAGTGTACCGTTTGAAGTAGAGTTCTCAGTGCAGCCAGTTAATGACGAACAACCTATGATTGTTACTAACACAGGGCTTCAAGTCTTCAATGGTGGTCGTCACATAATTCGTTACACTGACCTAAGTAAGTAGCAAGAGAAAACAAAAAAAAAACTTTGGCTCAAAAGTTTTATAGCAAATGTATTCACAATTTTCAAATGTCATATTTAATCTGCTAAAAATCAACCTTTATTTTACAGTGGCACAGGACTACGACACGCCAGCAGAGAACCTCACTTATATTGCAAACCACATCTATGGCGGATATTTGGCTCTAAAAACTGACCCCGTGCATAAAATAGATCAATTTACGCAGGCTCAAATCAATAACGAACAAGTTTACTTTATTCACGATACGAACTCCAGACGAAATGAAATGTCATTTATCGTGACTGATGGATTATTTAATACAACTGAACAGCTTCTGAATGTAGAAATAAAATCAGTGGAAATTATAGAAGAGCGCAACGAGAATTTGCACGTCTTTCCCTTAACGAAGAAACAAATTTTGCGTGATCATTTGCACTTTAAATGTACCGATGCTGAGAGGGAGATACATTACAATGTCACTGTACAGCCAACTTTGGGGCGTATTGTCAACGAGTTCATGGAAAATGGCTTTGCAAGAGAAGTAACTGAGTTCACGCAGAGCGACATTGATAATGGACGCATATTTTATGAGCACACAGCTGTGATTATGGAGTTTCGTATTAACGATTCGTTCTATTTTGATGTAGTAGCTGAACGCAGTGATCGTTTATTGGATCAAAAGTTCAATATAGAAATTTCTGTCTCTTCGGGCGGTTTACTAAGATTTTTACCGGTTTCTAAGTTGGAAGTAGATGAGGGTGGTTCTGTGCCTATTAAGTTGGACTTTTCAAAAATTTTGGAGTATTTGAAAACTCGTGCGGGCATCAGTAATCCTGAACTGTATATAGAAGCAACCAAACGACCAAGTCACGGCAGTATTGGCTTAGGCCATGAATTTAAACCCATACAAAAGTTTCATCCTAGCGATTTCTTTACTAAAAAAGTTTATTATATCCATGATCATTCAGACACTTTAGAGGACACTATCCTGATGTCAGTCTATCTCACACAAGGGTCAGTTTTAAGTAATCTATTTATTACTGATAAATAGATTGATAATTTTTTTTATGTAGTTGTTTGCTAGTTAATTTAACTAGTTTAATTTGATAAGACAGTTCATTAAAATAATTTAAGAACTATCTTATTTTAATACGATATGATTGACCGATTTTATTCTATTTATTTTACAGCAACATCTTTCTTTGTAACCTCACTATACCGGTGTCAATAAATCCCATCAATGATCAACCATTCGTATTAATGACACATCTTCCGCAAATGACCGTTGTTCAAGGTGAAAATCGTACCATTACCCGCAATGTTCTACTGACAGAAGACAAAGATACTCCGCCTGAAGAAATTGTTTATGATGTGACATGTGGACCCACCTTGGGTGTGCTGAAGAAAATATCTAATGACGGTCAAGCTGACGATTTGTTGGCTTATTCGAATCGTTTCACCCAAGCAGACATAAATAATGATCGCATTGTCTACATGCATTTCGGTACTCCACAATCTACAACATTCTGCTTTACTGTGTCAGATGGCAAATTCAACGCTGCCTATGAAGTATTTACTATCAAAATTACACCCATTTCTTTACTACCCGCGGACATACAAATTCCTGTGGGGGTACAACAAGGTGCCTCTACCGCCATTATGAAACTGGAACACATAGGCTTGCGAACTAATGTACAGTACCAGCGTTTGTCATATAATATAACCAATTCTCCACTTTATGGTATCATTGTGCTGCGCCACCAGCCCACATTAAGATTCACACAAAACCAATTGGAGTCTTCGCAAATAAGTTACATGCAAACTGATCTAAATCGGTCCAACGACACGTTTCAAGTCAGTGCTTACGTACCGGGTACTAGTTATGCTGCAACTGTCGATATTGTCGTTGTCGTTGAGCCAGTGATACAAATATCGGACATTTCCATGTATAATATGGTCACTGGTAAAGTACGCCTAATGTCGCTCTTAGCTTCTGATAATTCTTTATCGCTAAAACTTAACAAATTTAATCCAAAGTTCATAATAACGCGTATGCCCACTACGGGACAAATACGAAAAATCATACGTAGCACTGGTATAGCGGCTGAGGCACAAAATGAACGTTCCACTAGCACATTCTCTTACAAAGAGCTTCGTAGTGGCGTTGTGTATTTTGTACCGAATTTGGCTGTCGAGAATACTATAGAGGATAATGATAGTTTTGATTATCAATTAATCATAAAGACTGTACAACCAGCACAGGCCACCGTTAATATAGAATATCGCACACCAAATGAGGACAGCAGCACTATAAGCATCACGACCTCTAATTTTTCACTAAACTACGTAGCAATTGGTTGTGCGCTCATAATCATGTTCATTTGTGTACTTTTTGTTATGCTTCTATTTAAGCTGCGCTTTTTAAAACGTCACAAAGCTGATATATCAAAAGACCAACCACCGACATTACCATGTCCACCAGACTTGACATCTGTTAGTCCGCAACATCACCATCATCATCACCACCATCACTATGCTAGTTCAGAAGCAGATTCAGTGCCAGCGACGGGTGCATCTACCCCACTACCAGGTTTCAGCAATATTCCGCAATGCAAAATAATACCTGTAGAATCATATAAACTTGATTTTCCTGACTATGATCCTGATGAAGACGAAACAGATGATCAATGCGATCCTCAACAAATGATGCTTCCGCAACGTTATAATCCTTATCATATGGAAAATGATACTTGGAGCTCATCTTGCGATATGGCAAACGATTTCGGTGGCTATTCCACAGTGCCACAAAGTAGCGCACCTACTGCTACGCCACCATCGGCGCCACCCAGTAATCCACTACTAAGAAGAAATCAGTATTGGGTCTAACTGATTGTTATTTAAGTAATCGACTGAAGCTGGTACCGGTAGCTAATACTCAAAGTGCCTATATTATTGGTTAAAATTAGTTTTAGGTGTTAGTTTAGAATTTATTTAACTAGTAAAAAGAAACCTGAAATTAGAAAAGGTAGTAGATTTTACGAACTGAAGAACTTATTAGTTGATAAAATTAATTTCGTAATGTCATACTCATAATCGGGTGGCCGATTTAAGACTGTAATCGTTTTATAATTAACGAATATATAAATGCCGAGCATATGGAATTGGAATCGGTAATGAAATACTAACAATTAAATTGGAACAAATTGAAATCTACAAATTTTATCCTAACCTCACCAAGTTTTTTGGTCTCAGAAGTTGTGTCCCGTCTGATTGCTTTAGTATATTCTACAAAATTCTTTGAAACATTTCACCTGTAGGTTCGTATTTTAGTTTATAAGATGTGCAGACTGTTGGCTCAAATCATATTACTGGACTACGAAAGTCTCAGTTCAAATATTTTTGCAGATCACAACAGTAGTTTTCATGGAATTTCATTAAAACATTGTAGTTTAAGTTTATTTTTATTTGTATTGTACTTATTTATCTAACTTTGTATGTAACTCATTTATTCACGCATTCTATTAATTAATTAAATATGTAAGTTTTTATTGATTTAAAATAAAACCGAATTAAATACTGAAAACAGTTTTGCTAATGTCTATTTAAAAAAATGTACTTTCCCTTTTGATATTCTAGTTCTTAAGATTAGATAAGCAGACATAATATTGTATTACCGATACTTGCCACTGCAAGTGAGAAGATATCAAAAAATGTACATGATAAAGAGGAGCAATAGGCTAGTAAAATGAGAAGTGGTGTACCCGTATAGATCGTCTCAACTTATCAATTATACAGAAATCTCTAGGAATGAGGAGAAGTGGTTTAGTCCGTGCAAGTCGTGCACTCACTTTGTTGTTGTTATAACCCGAAGGAAAATGCAAGGCAAAAGACATGAATGGATTCCAAGGTGAATATGGTTCATGTGTTAAGATGGGTGCTGGGAATGAAGTTAGAGATTAGACCATTCCTGGTACCTATGCTTTTGGTCACTTTATTACGTATATTGTGTTTCATTTTGGAAGCAACATATAAGCTTGAATGGTTTACTATACTCAAGGCAGACGTGATTTGTAAAGATCTTTTATAAGTAACATAATAGATTTTTCATAAATAAAATGTTAACGTATTAACAATCAGAAACCTCAAAACAAAGTTTATACTTTTATATTTCTATATCATGCATGATAGCTGGTGATTATATATAATATAATATTATTAAATATAGTAGTATAAATGATATACCTTTTTTTCAAAAAACACATGTAAACAGAATACAAATATCGCGACATATTCATGATTAATTAGTCTAACTGTTAACATTACAATGATGATAATCCCTATGTCCCTAATTTCACGTTGTATTTAAATTCAAATAATTTCAAGAACCACTTTACTTCCATAAATGTTAAAATGATTACTATATCAATATTAAGCAATGCTAAATAATTGTGCTGCATTGTTCGAATCCTGGAGATAGTTTCCTTAGCTTATGCAGATAATTTAAGGGTATTGATAAAACTAACAATATCTCAAGACTCCACACCGTATTCAGTTCAATCAAAGCCGATTGAAAGTACTAGATTTTTACTGACAATCACACTGGATACGCAAATAAAAAGGCGGATGTTTTATTCTAAATTTCATAGAATCTGCAGATGTCGCTCCCATCCTTGAAATGTAGTAGTAGCAAATAGTAGTTAACAGGAGCATGTTGATTTAAGAAAATAGTAATAGAATCTGTGTTCAGATTTATTGGGATTAGAAAAAGGTCTTAAAGTAAGAATGTGGTATGCATTAAATAATATTTCTAAAACATTTACATATAGTAGTATAGAAAAACACACAACAATGTTTATAATAGTTGGTTGCGTTTTTCCTAGATATAGGACTTGGGTGTGTTGTCTTCTAAGACATAACAAGAAACTTGAAGTGTGAATAACAAAGCCTCGTTCAACGTTTGCAAGCAATTTATAGATAATTCTTTTAAGTATTAATCCTGCCTCACAAATAACAAAGTCCCGAGTTCTATAAATAGAGCTACCGCACACTTCTTCATAAAGGCTTATCAGCTGTTTCGTTATATTAAAATAATAATAATGATATTTAAAGTGCAATGATTTACAAACTCTTATTTATTTATTTTCAATAGGGTTTTAAAACTTATAATGCTTTAAATAAGATAAATATTGCAATCATATGAAATATATATAATACATTTTCGATTAAGTATTTATGTGTACAATAATTATAATAATATCACTAGTAAAATGGACGTGATGTGATTTTTATATTAAATATTAAAAATATTGATTCATTGACTTAATTTTATTCTTAAATACAAATTATTTATACGTAATAAATATAGCTTAAAAATAATTTAATATATGTACGCAACATACATACTTTTTTCATATATGAAATGAATATCATTCGATATTTTGAATTAAATTCAAAATTATTTGTATAAATTAGAAGTTATTTAATAAATAAACAGTTTTTATAATTAATAATAAGTAATATGTTTTATAATAAACAATACCAAACGGTTCGATCTGATGTTCATGAAAGTCATTAAATAATCGTATGGAATGAGTTTCATAAATATTAAGTATAAAAATTTATGTAATTATTTTTTATAAATTTTCATTTTTCCATTTAATTTTCTTAAAGTAAATTATTGTTTTCTCAATAAAAAAATTGATAAGAAATAAAACAAATGTGGCTTAACATAAACATACATTAATACAACGATTTAATACAAAATATCATTTAAAATTTAATTAATATTTAATCACTAAAAAAGTCATTAATTAATTTATTGTTAACACGGCTATAACTCTTAATGCTTTGATTAAATATATAAATAAAAAGCATTTCCTTTTGATGTATTCATTAAAATGTTTATATATGAAACATTTCTGTTCATTACATATATAATTTATAGTATGAACTATAGCCCAATGAATCCAAAATTAATTAATGAATTGTATAATTATTGATTATAAATTGATTATTGATTATAAATTATTATTTGTTAAATATAATTAATATGTAATAATTACATTTAATTTAACATAATTATCAATCAATTTATTGCAATCAATAACTAAATATAATATAATACAATTAATATAATATAATTGTAATTATAAATATAAATTAATCTTAACATGCAATTTTTTATACTTAGCACTTTGTAAAACCAATATATTATATTATATTATATTATATTATATTATATTATATTATATTATATTATATTATATTATATTATTATATATTATAATAATATTATAATATTTTATATTATTATAATATATATTATATATTATAATAATAATATAATATTTTATATTAATATAATATATGATATAATATTATTATAATAATATAATGTTATCTATTATTAAAATATTATATATTATATTATATATTATTATAATATTATATATTATATTATATATTATTATAATATTATATATTATATTATATATTATTATAATATTATATATTATATTATATATTATTATAATATTATATATTATATTATATATTATTATAATATTATATATTATATTATATATTATTATAATATTATATATTATATTATATATTATTATAATATTATATATTATATTATATATTATTATAATATTATATATTATATTATATATTATTATAATATTATATATTATATTATATATTATTATAATATTATATATTATATTATATATTATTATAATATATTTTATATATTATATATTATATACTATTAATATACTATACTATTAATATATACTTATACTATTAATCTTTTATTATTTAATATATTCTTATATGTTAAAAACCTTGTGTTCCACTGGGCTTTTCCGAAACTGGCGTTACTGCTAATGCCTGATTATCGTATGAGTATTCCGCGGTTGGTACCGATGTGGGTGTGCTGCTATTTTCCGCTGGGTATCGTGTGCTGACTGGTGTGGTCACAGTTAAAATCGATCCTTCAGCGCCTGTAAATAATTGAGCAAAAGTCAGCATCTGATAAGCAAGGAAAAATATTAAATATATTTCGGTGAATGTGAAGTTGAGTTACTTTTCTTTTTTGAGCGATTTTGTTGATTTTGTGATTTTACCTGTGACACTGTAAATTTGGGATGGCGCATTCTCGATCTCATTTATGGTCATCACGTTTTGTATTGTAGTACCACCAAGATCCTTGCCATTGTGCGTATGATTGGTAACGAATTTGTTTGGTTGTAGTTTCTTCAGAACAATGGAAACGCATGGTTTGTGGCGCAGCCAACGGATGCCCTTATAGGCGTAACGAATCACAATCAATGCCAACAAAACAATCAACAAGACAAGAGTCAGATTGAGGCGCGCTTGAATAGAATGTATCTCGGCTTTCAATGGCTCGTACTGATTGAATTCTGTAGCAAACAAATAGGGAAAAAAGTCAAGTAAATAAAAAATGAGTGATTTCAGGCACAATTCATTGTCTTTGTTTTACAAATATTTTATAAATATTTTCTACCTGCTGCTCTCAAGCGAACTTTACGAACCTTGCTTTGTAGCCTAATAAGAGCGCAACAATGTGCGGTCTTATTAGGCCCAAGTATTTTCAAATACTTGAGACTGAAAATAAGGCTAGTCTCACATATCTGCCATCAATGTGATATATTCAGACACTCATTAAAAAGTTTGTAATTTGAACGCAAGTGTAAACAATCAAGTTGAGTGTGAAACGCAATAAGATTTAGTTTCTTTTTTAATGAATAATAAAAATCGAATTATTTCCAGAAAAATAGAAATATGTTCAGCATGTCAACTGACACGAATGCTATTGCCGCTCAAAAAATTATCGAAATGTTCTTCGTAATTCAACCAAATCGATAGAGCATTCAAGGTTCCAAGAACCACTACTACATGCAGTTAGTCCAACTGTGCACTGTACTGGAATACCTTTGTTTAGCGTAAAAATTAGCGTAGAATATGAAAACTATAAAAACTCATAACTTATAAAAACTCCTTCCTGAAGTAATGTGATAGCGGTCCTGGGGATCATGTGCTCTATAATAGTCATAACACTGAAATTTTTTCTTCTTATTATTGCTTTTATCCCCATTAGGTGCAAAATGTCAATAGTACATCTAACAGATGGTAAGGTCTGCATTAGTTCCCACATCCATTAATGTATTAATGTATTAAATCTTTATATTGAGAAGATATTTCTGATTTATTAATTATTTACTTATACTATTAATGTGCCATTCTTCTACCTGCGTAGAGAATACCTAAATGTATTAAATGTACGAACTTAGTTTGGTGGCAAAGAAAAACACAATAGACACTTTTATATGTGTTGGTCCTACAAGCACTTTTAGTAGGTGACTTTTGAAATCAGGGATTAAGATTTAATTTTTCCAAAAAGTCGAAAACAGGGATTAAAACTAAAAATATACCTAGCCAGTGGTGGTGTTTAAAAATCCACAAAAAAAAAATTCAAAAAACTCAGTTCCCATTCCAAGACTGTCTTCGATAATGTTCAATAACTGATGAGTAAAAGGAAAGTCCAGAATTATTTCTCACTTTGTAAGTGGAAGTTTATTTTTAAACTTCCCAATACATTAGTCAAGAGTAATTGATTTAATTAATTAATAATTAATTTTATTTAATATTTATAAATAAGTAAATTGCAATAATAATGTGAAATGATGCAATGTGCCGTACTAACAAATCGTGATTCAAGCAGTCAAAACAATAATAAATAATTATTTAATCATGAAGGTAAAGAAATCACTGAAGTTAATTGTTAAGTACAAGCAAAAATTCTTCACATTTATCTATAGAACTAACTATGATAACATGTGTTTTCTACGAACTCTTATGACGAATCAACTTTAAGTTGTTTATCTTGAAATCTAATTAAATCCTGCTTATCACCTATTTATTATGACACATCATATTTATTTCCAGAGTTATTCAATATGTTATGATAAGAACATATGTGTTTTATCTGAAGATTATAGATCAGAAAAAAAAATAAAATTAAAAATATAAATGCACCATAACAGTATATCTACAAAATCAAAGATAGCAAAGATTTCCTATCCTTTGGTTAGTTCAAATATTCAAACAACTAAATGTGCTTCACTACGAATGTATCTAGGGTATTACTAAAATTTCATAACTTAAAAATAATTAAACACATATTAGAGTCATTGCATATTAGCAGATATATTATTTTATGAATCAGAAGCTGGGAAACGGTCTCAAAAACTCACTAAATGATGCTTATAAATTCTGGTAGAGTCTCATCACGCCACCAGGTTTCTGCAGGTAAAGATAAGAATCTTGTACTTAAGTATCAGCAAAAGCAACTATCCAACCCTTTATAAACTAACTATGGTTGAAGAAAGCCCAAAAGAAAGTTTTTACAAGAACCACCTATTAACTTAAGATGAACGTATTAAAAATAAAAGGCAGAAATAAGCTATAGTAAACCGGATCTTTATCGCGGATCGAGTCCACTTAAGTACATGAACATGAAATTCGCTATCATGGATCTTTATAATATTATACAATACAATATATTATAATTACCATACAGAGTTGTAGAGTTGTAATAACATCCATCCTAGTATATATATATAGTACATATCCTAGTTAGTATATATACATAGTATATATATATAACTTTAAAAAATTAATAGTTTTGTATTTTGTTTCACACAAGCCTTCAACAAATTAAATAATACTAATAAATAATAGAAAGTGAACTCGTAAATATTCTATTTTATTATCATATATTATTACCAAAAAACAAAAAAAAACAAAAATCTAACAACAATCCAGGGTTCCCCTTCCCTCAGTGATTACCACATACTTTTAAACTCGTTAGTCATTGAACACTTTGAGGTAAATAACTTCTCTGTTCTTCAGCTTCCTTCTACATATTTCTAGTTTCCTACTTTACTAACTTCTTATATTTTTTCACATATTTTTTTTATTTTATTTCTGTTCTTCATCTATTCTATCTTAACTTCTCTTACCTGCACACTTTCTGGCACAATCGTCCTTATTGAAATTGTGTGAAGCAGCATCACAGATTGTCTCGCATGGAGCACAGGCTTCACTGAAATCAGAGCAGTATTCTTCGATGGGATGACAGACCTTGCCGTGGCATTCCTGACCGGTTGCGGCATTCACGCATCGCAACTCTGTGGCAATAAGAATGGCGAGAGCAACTAGCAACTGATGCCTTGCGGACATTCTGTGGGTGTTCAGGAATCTGTGCATAGCGTCGTGAATGGACGCTACGAACTCGCGATCTGAAGTGGGTATTGGTGACTTTTTTTATTTTGTTTTAGTTGCGTATTGCGCTGAATAGTTTTTGTTTGCATATGAGAGTCGTTGATAAAAAATCGCTGAACGTGTTTATAGACGAACCTCGGGTCTTTCTCTTTGCCAACGTTGAAGTGTTTAGACTTTAAGATATTTTGTTGGGTTTGTGATGATTGTTCCAAATTGTTGTTGTGATGATTCATAAAAGCGGCATGTCACTTACTTTTTCATTACTGTTTGCAGTTATGATTTAATTTTTTTTCTACACGAAATATTTTCGCATCCGTTAATTGATGTCTTAACTTATCTTAACTTATTTTCACTTAAGATTTTATTTCACTCTTCTTACATTTATTTAATAGAAGTTATTTATTTTATTTTTTTAAAATTTTGTTTATTGTGACGATGAAGTATCTGGTATCTTCACTTTAGCAAAAACGCACTCACAATTTTTACTTCACCCATTTGACTGACTCTTTCTCGGTTATAGCCACAAACTCGAGTCTGAGTTAAAAACACACACACACACACACAATCTCACAGACAAACGATTTCAGAAAAGGCTTAAAACTAGTTTCCCAACAGATATTTGAGTTGGAACGCACACTGTTGTGCATCTTTTGTATCTTGTATCTTGTATCTTGTATCTTATATCTTTAATTTTGTATTTTGTATCTGCGTTTATTTGTTATTTGTTTTTATAATTGTGTTTTTTTTTGTTGTAGTTGTACAACAACAGTTTTTGTATGTTTCAAAAACAAGTAAAAATATTTACTATAATATGAGTATTTTATGTTTATTTTGATTTTCACTTATTTATTTTAAAGTACGTGCTTGACGGCGTGTATTTAGAGTAAAAGTTTCACATTTCATATTTCAATGCGAAAATGCGAATGTAACTACGATTAGCGAAGATATTTTATTATTTCCTTTCCTTCACATGTCAGAGTGAAGCTATTTTACAAATATTTCACTTTTTTTTTGTATTTTAGTTTTTAGTTTTTTTTTACGAAATTTTTAAACTAACTTTATCGAAGTAAAGTCCGCGCTTCGAGCCACACTCGGCGAGTTACAAACAACATTTAAACCAATTTTGTATCTGAGCGGTACATGCCGTACGAGTACACCGTTCGCGTGTTCTGTGTGTGCTCGGCGGTGTGCGGAGGTGCTGACTTTGTATTGTGCACTCTTCTCGACATCATCGAGGCACAAGGTAAGATCGGCCGTTCGCTCACTGAGCGTTTCTCTTAACGTTTTTGGTGGAAAAAGTGCCCAACGAATTGCTTTTCGTTCTAGCCAAACAAGTTGAGTTATTTCATCGCAAAAGCACCTCAGATCGTGAGTTACTAAGGTTTTGTTCCTTTCAGTTACTTTGGCAATGAGTCATTCCCATATATTTTTTAAATTAATTAAAAATAAAAATAGTAAATTAATAATATTTTTTAATTGGAAATTCTATTTGAAAAATTTCTTATTGAAATATCCCAATTTCAGTCTGTACCAATGCGTATGCAATATATAAATAGAATCTGCCAAGTAATTCTTTGCAAAATCCAAATCCTAATACGAAAAACACTTACTCCAAATCTTATATGGATTTGGAGTGATATTTGGATCATGTGAACATTTCCTTGACAAGCAGTACTAGGACTGTTTGATGAGTCAATGATAATTGCATTAAATAAGTTTTGAAATGTTCTTACCATGGACATGAACACGATAATCTCATATATCATAATTTTACATAAATATATCCAATTCAATTGTTGTAACAAAATAGGATTTAATCCTATAATAAAGAGGAAGAACAAATATTCTCAATATAAGGGCTATTTAATAATGTAGTGTTAAATGCATTCGATAATGGTAAATCTGGATCCAATCTAGATTTATTTTCAATCTGTCAAATTGGGCACGAACCAATCAAACAATTTTAAGAGTAATCTAAGATCTATTTAGTTTAGTAGATATTTATATTTTTTATATATATCAAATATGTTATATCAAATCAAATCATAATTTATTTGTTGTCATATAAAACAGCTGTAATTTTAGGGCAATCTTGCTACTCTGACAAAATATCTAGAGTGTTATAAATTAATCTCAAGTGTTATAAATTAATCTCAAGTGTTATAAATTAATCTCAAGTGTTATAAATTAATCTCGAGTGTTATACAGATTTACCAATTGAAAATGAAAATTGCACTAAAAGTGAAACTTGATTAAAAAAGTCTCCCCAGATTTACCAATCGAAACCGTCATAAGTTTTCGAATATACTGGTTTTGTAAACAAATACTTGACGTGCAATACGAGCACTGTTTGATAAGTCAATTACAACTGCTTTCAATAAGTTTTAAAATATTTTAGTTCAATACCTATTTTTTCAATATGGCTATAATTAAAAGCTTAAATCGAAGTTAGTGAATCCTTGTCAGTGATGCCCAGCCTTTTTATAACCTCGTCCCCCAAATAATAAAATGAAGTTGAAATTTTCGCAAGCCCGGACATCGTTTTTAACAAATTGTTTAAACATTTTAGAGTTAAACGGCAGGAGTCCTTGCTCCCCTCAGCGCTATTGTATAGAAAATAGAAACTATTACTATTGTATTGAATAGAGATATGTCTCCAGAATTTTTTATACGTGTGATGCGTATCATACTTTCTCCATGGGTCGTATAGTGTATTTTTCCGAAAAGTGAAATTATTGTCCTTTGTCAGCTCTTTAACAAACAGAAATTTTAATTAATTTTTAAAAAAGCCATTGTTTACCGAATTACGTTGTGATTGTATGACCTACCGAGATGCATAAATGGGACCACAACCCTGAATATGATAGACAAAATTCATGATCTAGTGATGGAAGTTCGTTTAATAAAGGTGCAAGAAATTACTGATCAAATTACTGACTAACTAACCATAGTTTCAGGGTTTCGTATGACACCCTTTTACAGACTCAACACTAACTGATGTCTTAAAAAGCCCTTCTAAATATGACGTCTTACCCTTTAATGGACAAATGCAATAGTATGTCATTGAATGAATGTTGTTTGTTAATAGAATTGAAAATGGTACACTATATCTTATAAGATTTGTTACAAGCTCTATTCCAATATAGAGTAATTTAAATTAATGCGGAGAAATCCTCCACCATTAACACACACTCTAATAATACAAAAATGGATTTTTGGCAGAAAGAATTTGTTTTTCTTAGTTAGTCACACTTATAATTGAATGATGTGTTGTCTCTTAGCTTAAGATTAAAAACCTCATTTGATCTATAGAAAGCCATTTAGATTAGTCTCTTATCAATTACAAAGTATTAGCAATTAAGATGAACAGAAGGTTTAGTCTGTGTTTTATAAAATCTATGAGAGTCAGAATCGTTCAGTACAGTATTTAAAAACCAGTAGTTAACTGGAGCATAACCAGTTAATAAACTAATGATTATTATAAGTTTTTAGATTGAGAAACTTGTCAACATAATATTGTACACTTGACTACACTATTTCAATAATCACAGGTCGTTAGATGTCTGATATTACTTATGTCAGGTTTCTTTATGGTCTTATTGTCTTCATTGACTTAACATCCATATGAGAGCTTAATTAACTTCCGTAACCGGTCGATATGTCTATTCATACGATAATGTGTCATCAGTGTGGTAACTTTGTCATGTCCCCAATTTTAAAGTATTCTGTATGCAAAGCTTATTTAACTGAAACCAATATCTGCTGAATTCATTGCTAAGATAAGCCAAATGACATTTCTGGCCAGTTAATCGCTCCTATAGTTGCCAGAAAAGTCTTAATGATCTGGTACCCGTTTTACGATATAATTACCATACTAAAAAATTTTTGTAGTTAGTTGTGGTGGAGGAAGGACCGAATTCTTCTCAATTAGCTAAGAAAGCCGCTTTGAATACACAAATTCTATTTAAGTTGAAATAAATTGAAGAGACTAGTAATGTCTGTGACTTAAAAGAACTGATCCATATCGGTACTCACCTCATTTTTTAATTAATCATGAAAACTGGTACACCATTGTCACTCGATATTAATTATCAGTGGGACACAAAGTTATTGCAACTAACAGCTCCAGAGAGTAGTGACTAGTGGTTGATTATACCTATTTGCTCTCTTTTAGCAGAATTTAGGACTTTGTGTAGACAACTTTCCTTTAATATATAGTCACAGAATTTTTTCAGTAAGGTCTAAAATAATCAACTTCAAAACAATAATTTTCAAACCCATTTAAATACAAAAGCATGTTTAATGTATGGATATTTAATGGACTTGAAACGAACTTCAGCTATTTGATTATAAAAGTCCGATCTATATTTTTTATTTAACCAATTTCTATATGCAGTGATATTCTAATCCTCAAACTGTAGATATTTAAATGCAAACCAATAACTAATGATATTAGAACTGTAGTCCGTCTGTCCGTCCATAGTATATTTTATGGAAGACTAAAATATAGTTTCTTTAATAAACAATAAATCTAATTAACTAAACTAATGAAATCAATTATACAACCAACAGCAACAAATTGCAATCGAATTAGTATTTCAGCAATTCAACAGTTCAAGAGTTTTTAATTTATCTATATATATATATAACCAGATATACTTAGGGTCTTGAAAATGGGAAATAAAATTGTTTTGAAAACAGTTTCTTTTGCACTGTGGCATAAGCCAGAGTTTCCATTTAGTAAAAAACGCATACCTCTCTTCTACGGAGAATAAGTAATGTGTGCGACTTCTGAAAGGATTTTAATCGTTCCCTATCATTTACTACCCATTTACTATGTCTTCATTAAACAAAAATATTGCATACCGTTCTACGGACTGAAGCACTTGGCATCAACTATCTCTGGAATTAATTGTGATGAATTAGATTATACATGTTTTTCTTTATATGGCGATAGTGTTTTTATTACTAACAGTCCCACATAAAAAAATTAGGAATAGGTTTGATAATAGCGCGATGAAAGAGATTTGCATTGATGGGTCAAATATTATTAGGGACTGAAAAGTCGCAATGAGTCCATGAGTACACTAATCATATTAAATCAAGAACCCCATCTCAAATCTACTTTTCAAACAAAAGTTTTATCTTCATAACAGCCTTCTGGCATAGTGTTAAAAAACTACGAGTGCTATTTCATCAATTAGCTGTTTATATATTCTTTAAGTTAGTTGACAAACATATACGAAGTATTAAAAAAATTTTACACCAGTCCCAAAGTAACAGGTAACATGTTAATAAAAATTGGTCCCATGACCCACACACCATAAATGTTTAAAATTAAATTTGATTTTAACATTTAACATTAATATGACAGTAGTGACTATTTTTACGTTCAAATTTGACAGGGCACGATTTCAATCGCTGGTACTTGCAGTCTCAAAAAAACTACAAAGAAATAATTCCAGGACCACTGTTGATGGGTATTTGGCAATACTCGAAACAGCTGATCAGTCAAAAATTAAATTAATTAAAACAATAAAAAAATAATTTTTCTATAAATCTTTAACTATAAGCTTAATTCATATATACAAGATGGAAGTCTTTAAAATAACGTCGATTTTCATAGGATATTCGATTATAGATGGAACCGTATTGCGTTATAGATGGAGCCTGCCGTGTTCTTAGCATTTTGTCAGCAATGCAACGCTATTGTGCTACAAGCGGCTTATTCGTCTTCTGTTCAATGGCCATCACTACTCTTCTATTTATTTTTACTTTCCTAATCATTACTTCAAATTTACCCACAGCGAGGTGTGGACGTGCTTAGTAAACTCATTTTAATTAAAATGTTTTTTTTTTCGTGGCCTATTAAGTCAATTATTGTTTTTACTTAAAACAAAACGCTTTGGTTCTATCAAATCATATAAATTTTATTTAGTTTTATTTGCAAGTGCAATACGTTATATAAAATTGATGGTCACCTTCAGAAACAATTTACCACACCTATTACACACATGAAAATAGTCTTAGTTTACTACAAATATACAATAAAATATACTTATTAGGTCTGTTCCCGAGCTCGTAGTAACTAAGAGTAACACTGTGTATAATTAATCACAATTAATTATTATTATCATATAATATGTATGATTATTTTACTATAACTTTTATATAATAATATAAAATACTAATAATTTATTTTATTTATATCAACATGTTTCTCTAATAAGCATAAATATTTTTTCTTACTCTTCGAATAAGTTAGAGATGGTAACTCTTAGTTTTTCATCAACTCAACAACAGTTTTTTGTTTATTGCATTTCAAATTGTAATAGAAAATTACAGTGCAATTCAAACTGTAAAAAAAATTCAACAGCAGCTATGAAATTTTGTTGTTGCTTGTTCACTTCCAGTCAAACAACTTTTTATGTATTTTCAACGTCTGTCACAACAACTACAACCACAACAACAACAACAACAACAACAACAACAACCACAACAGTTTACAAAATAATCAACAACAATGGAGAAAGAAAACAATGCTTAAACGGCAAGTCCCCAACGCTTTGTGAACAAATTCATATTTTCTCGTAGCCGGAGCATTCGTTGAGCGGCTGTCGCAGTTGACTGAGCTGTGTGTTGTGCGCGCTAATTTATTGTAGAAGTTGAAGAAATGTTTTGAAAAATATTTCACTTTGAAATAGAGAAAAAAAATTTAAGTGAACACAAATACGAATTGCATTGCAAGCAGTGAACACGGCAGCTGCAATTTGTTGTTGTCTCTTGTGCGGAAACTATTTATGAAATTCTTTAATAAAAATCGGAATAGAATTGAATAGAAAAAAAAACAAAATAAACAAACGAGTTTTGCGAGTGAAGTTGTATAGTTTCTCGATATATTTGAATCTTAAAACCAACAAAAACATTTTCGGTATAAAAAAAAGATGCCGCAAATTTCGTGAATGGAAAGAAGCAGCAATCAAAAATCAAAACAAAAATAGAAAATAGAAAATTTTTGAAAGACGGTAAAGAAAAACCAACAACAAGAAAGCAAGAAGAAATTACGGGCTGCTGCGCTGCGCTGCGCTGCACTGCCACTGTTGCAGTTTTAAGTGAAACTCAATAATGCTTAATAAATATTTTTTTATATTCAATTAATAATGAATTTAATTAATTTAAAAACAAGTTTAATACAATTATAAATTAAATAAATTTACAAAAGTTTTAAAATATTTTGTAAATAATAAACAGAAGTAAATTTAGTGATTTTGTTTTTGTTTTGTTGTTGTTGTTATTGTTATTGTTGTTTTGCAGATGCCGCCACTGTCACTGTGTGCTTATTGTTATTATTTTTGTTGTTGTTGTAGTTGTTTTTTGTTGTTGTAGTTGTTTTTTTTGTTGTTGTTGTTGTTGTTGTGATTATGAATTCATTATTCACTTTGGTTTGGTTTTGGCTCTAACTTTGTTGACAAACTCTTCAACAAGTTTTTGAGTACTGCAATGGCAACAACAACAACAACAATAGCAACTATAACTACTATAACTGCTATAAAGATTTGAAACACACACAGTATAATTTCAACCACAACGACAACAACAACAACAACGCTGTTAAGCGGTGTAACGTAGCGTAGCTTAACCATTAAAGCTCAATGCTTAACACAGTTCTTCTTGCCCCCTTTCCTTGAAAGGCAGGTTGTTTAGTTTTGAAAATTCAACAACAAAGTTAAGATTTGTCCTTGAGCTCACAATTTTTATGCTGAACTGTGTTTATTTTTTGTTTTTGTTTGTGTTTTTAGTGCTGTTTTAGTGCTGCAAGTGATGTGTGCTCCAAAGAATAAAAAACATTAAAATAACAAAATTTAAGAAATTAAAAAAAAAATATAATTTTTTTGTGCTTATTTCGTTTTATATGTTTCAAAGAAAGATAAGAAGTAATAGAGAAGCAAAACATGAATAATTTTACTAAAACGGAAGCATTACCAAAGACTGGGCACGTAAATGAAGGTAAGCAGAAATTATTTTATTTATTTTATTTTAATTTCTTTTTAAAAAAATTGTTTTTCCATAATTGCAACCGTTAACCTAACCAACCTAACCTACCATTCAACCACTCAACCACTCAGCCATTCAGCCACCCGCACCATTCAACAACGCGTGAGTGTGTTTGTGTATTTGCTTTGTAGGTCAGTTTGCTTGCAGTTTTGCAAGCACAAATGAACTTGTGCTGCGCTTACAAAAGAAAGCAAAAAAAGTTCAAAACGAAAAACAAAAAAAGAAAAACCTTTGGCAAAGTATGAGGCTGAAGGATATGTACATTCGGTATAAGGCGGCAATGAGATAAATAGTAGCGATTTTCTTTCTAACATACTCGTATATTAAATAATACATATATAAAGTCCTCAATATTTCTATTATCCTCAAAAGCAATTAAATCAGATATTGTGGTATGTGCTTTCTTGTTAATGCATTCGTCACATAACATATGTAAATAATAATGTTTCAAATCAGTAATTAGTTTATTAAATTTTCATTATGAAATTATGACTTTCAATGAGTAGATATATCGCAATATAATACGTAAGAGACAACATCGTTGCTATTGTAAATTTGCACATAGTCTTTGCATTCACATTAAACAATGTGCTTTTGCTGTTCACCTCACATCTATTCGAATTATGCAGTAATTTATAAGTGAAATAATTTTACTTTTAGCGAATAAAAACGTGATTATACTAGCAAAAAGTTCTAGCAATAGAATAGATTTTTAAATTTATATGATATAAGTTATAGAAATATATAAATAGTTTATACATCCATCCATTTCCATATTTCAGTGCAAAATAGACTAAGTTTTTGAATTGAATTGAACTTGGAATCTGTATAAACTAATGAATTTGACTTGTTTTAATATATTCGCATATACCTATAATGAAAAAAGTGTATACACAGTTTATAACATCGGATAATTTGACTTCATTTATCAAATAGTTTTCTTTAAGAGCAATATAGTCCAAAGCTTCTCCGCTATTTCGATATCTCTCTTGAAAAAAGATTTAAAAATATACATTTGGCCTTAAAATAGGCATTTGTTTTAGCCTTGACTTCTTCATTGGACAAACATTTTTTCTCTGAACCATGTTTTTGAAGTTTGCTAACAGGAAATAGTCGCTGGGGAGCCAATATCGGTATTTTAACCAAGATCCCGTTAGGGGATGCATGGTCTTGATAACTATACATATACATATATACAGATGTATAATCATGATGAATATACATCCCCATTTGCCATTGTTTTGTAATCTTTTTCTTCAAACGGACCGATAAGTACCTATAATGTGCACTTTTGACAGTATTTTCCTTTTTAGTTTTTTTGATCAAATTTATATTAGACGAGATCGCCTAAAAATCTTTTACTGACCCAGAGCAAAACCGAGCAGTCACAAAGAATGACATTCTGCCTTTCTGAGGACACAGAAAAAAACTGGAAGACAACAGCGCAGATTGTAACGGCCAGCCACATTATTCGCTAGTCAAGCGAGTTTTCTTTTTGCAATGAACTACTTTCTTGGCCTAGCGGTTACCGAAAGTAATTAATGAGAGATTTAGTTGTGGGCCAATTAATTATAAAATTTTTGTCATATATTAAAATTATATGTGCGAACCGTTTGATGCAAAATGCCAGTCTATATATATTAGGTATTGTTGTATATATCTATTATTATTATAACTTTCGTAAAATATTAAAAAAAACTTCTGAAGATAGTAAAGATTTGCACTTTCTAAGAAACCGCAACCAATTTCAAAATGGTCGTGGCCTAGCCTATAAATAGTTTTAATTCTTTATGACAATCTTTCGATATTTTTGTAAATTATGTTAACTATATTAAAATACTTTTTGTCAGGACTTTTTGTTCCATAAAAAGGGATATGCAGTAGAATTTTGATTTTGTTGATACTTTACAAAGATACGACTTTCAATTTTATTTTGTTTAAAATAAATTTAAATTTTTTAAATATTCAACAGAAAGACGGAAAAAGCGTATTATATAAAAAATACATATCATAAATATAAATTTTTTATTGCAGCCATAAAAGTTCTATAAATTTACAATCGTACCCTGCTGCCCGGTTGTCGCAACCTCCCATCATAAATCACATTAAAATTCTACTGTCACTCAGATAGATACTCGTTCGTGATGCTAATCGACAGTCATCAATTAACAGTGGACTACACTTAATTAAAACTAAATACTTAATTAAGTTAATTTTTTATATTTAAAAAAAATTGAGTAAATTTTGTATCTGCATATTCACTGCATTATGTAATAGATACAAAGCTAGCAGAAACAATTCGCACTACAGATAACTGAAAAGTATCTGTGAAGCTCTAACTAAGGTATGCATCTCCCATTGTCGTTAAAAATACAAAAGATCGTTTATAAAGAAATTTTTTTGCTTATTGGCTCGACTTTCACCTTTTACACACATCGTTGGCAGCGTTAGCTTTAGTTTGAGATACTTTCGAGCTATAAACTAACAACTTTTGCTAATGTTTTTAGTAATTTTTTTATAATTTTTGTGTTTATTAATTTGACGTACATCATGCATAGCATAGCTTTTACATATTGTAATAATAGTTATTAAAAAATGACTGACAGACTGGCTGCCTAGTAGATGTGCAGACAGACAGACAGATAAAAAGACAGAAAGAAAGATAGGCAGGCAGGCAGGCTGGCATTCATTACCATACCAAAGGTCCACTGAGCACTGCTTCAGTTTGCGTTAGATCCAAAGTATCTATGGGTAACAACATATAATTTAGAGGCGCTCATATCCGTTTGCATGTGTAATCGCATGGTTATCAATGAACAAGTGTGGTTGCACCTTTAATTGAAAGTCATCAATGCAGCAATTATTTGCGATAAAAAATTGCAAATAAATTGAAATTAGTACGAGATCTGCTTACTAAGCTTACTAAGCTGGACTTGCTGCAAATGGCAGTTACTGCGATTGCATTTGAAACCCCATTTACGGCAGAGACAAATCCTGAATGTAGAAGTCCGCGTGGCTCTATTAATACGCAACAGGCGAGTCAACAACAAAATCATGGAAAATAAAACGTAAACTTATAGATAATTGCAGATACTTGTAGTTACTAGTTGAGTAACCAGTCAGGAAGAGTGGTTCACATTCTTTGTAGTGACTAAGCAGGCTATGAATGGAGGTTGATGTTGCCCAGTAACGACTTTCACTTTTGCTGTGCAATAATTTACCAACTCAACTCGTAGTCAAATCTGTATAAATATTTTTAACTTTATATATTAGTTAGGGATTATTTTAAAATTTGACTTGACGAAAAAATCTGATATAAAACGCGCCTGGAAACACACCAAATTCTAAGACTAAAATTTTAAATCCTATATCTTATAAATCAAAAAAAACTGTTCTTCATCTGAAGCATTGCAACTGAAATGTTAGAGAGTGGGCTTTAAAAGTTGATTCGTTTCTGTGAAATATCAATATGATTATAAACTTACTGTGGTATATTACTAACACTTATTTAATATTGAACAATGCTACTGTCACACCATTGCTATAGACAATAGAAGCCAAAGAACTGCTACTTAAACTTGAGCAATTAGGCTATAACGCCATGGGTTATGTAGATGACCTGATAGTCATTGTTATTGGCAAATATGTTATCACTGTCACTATTTGATTGCAAACAGTCTTAGACAAAGTTTGGAACTATTGTATAATGAAGGGCTTGACTTGACAATTTAATCAAAAAAAGATTAAAGGGAGAATTCAATCCTTGTCTATAAGAGACTGAGTGCTTAGAGGAGAGTTAATAACTAGAGATTACGTTAGATAAACATTCGATTCAAAAGACACACTGAAGTCAATTGTGTGTCCCACTCCTCAGATATTTTTCTTGAATACCTTCAAGTGCTAACTTTGTTATCAATACACACGGAATTCTCAACAGTCGCAACTGTCTATAGACTGGTTTTTGACATAGAGATCTGCGATAAGACATTCTTATAAATATAGAATTTAACTTTAATAGAAAAGTTCGAAGTCATAATCCAGATTGTATGCATTACAATCTGGATGTACCATAGAAGCCATTGGTGGTTAGGAAGTGAAGAATCAGTAAAGAAGCCCGAACACCAAAATCTCGCTTACGCTAGTTAACCTTAATAAAGGTTTAAAACACAATGAAGGTTATGGGTTCTGATTTACTACTCTAAGGGTAATATTACTCTCTAAACAATTTGGACTGTTTATAATTATTGTTTATTGATTGATCGTTGTTTCAAGTATAAGTGTCAAGTTCTAATTTTCTTGGAAATTGACATTGTGAATATAATATTTTACGATTTGAAATACACATTGCAACTTTGGGTCCACTTCCCACAATCAGTTAAAAAATAGGCGGTCTGTATTATTTTCCTATAATGAACTCTTTTCCGTGATTATTGGCTAATGTAATATTAGTAATGGTGTACTGTTTGTAGTTTAGTAGTAATCCTCTTCACCTTTTTGTTCTCATGGCTGCTCCAACGTGACAGTCACAACCGTGACAGTAAGGACTCCAACAAAGTGCCATTCGTGTAATATTTTTAATAGACCTACATAGCGTCTATACTCAATCGAGGCCTCATTTGTATCCACATTTTTTCTTAAAGATTATTAATTGATCTTCAAATTTCAGTATAGTATTATTTATGGTATTTGTATGGCTTTGATCTAATCCAAAAGTAGAATACTAGATAGAGAGCTTTTATCCGCGTCTGACATTAAGAAGTCCTTAACGGATGATATTTATCGGCTTTAATTTGTAGATGTTTTCGAAAAAAAATGCTGATAGTTACCTAACCTAATTTCCATTTGCAGGGTTAAATATCTTATGTTTAACCCTCCTACTATGAGCGCAAACCCTTCTTCCGTTAGAAGCTCAATATTCTGTTTATTTTTATTGCTATATGTAACCTCGACCA